GGCCTGGTGCACTGGGAAGACCCAGAGGGATCGGGTGGAGAGGGAGGTGGGAGGGGGGACCGGGATGGGGAATACATGTAAATCCATGGCCAATTCATTTCAATGTATGACAAAAACCACTGCAATGTTGTAAAGTAATTAGCCTCCAACTAATAAAAATAAATGGGAAAAAAAAATTTCAACAATGAGTTCTGAAATCAGCTGAATGAATAATAAAAACTAAGAGGAAAGGCTTTCAGAAGCGGCACTTGAATCATTTTATCTCCTTAAAGGACAAGGTTATTTCTTGATACAATGAAGTTTAAAGTAAGATTACTATTGTGGAACGATATGTGATTTGCCTAGAACTCAAGAGATAATGTCAGGGTCTTCTACCTCAGATACATGCGAAGAGTTCAGCACTTTTCTTTAATGTTCTGATTTAGAATGGCTTTTTACTCATTTAACCCAGACACACCAATCTGTGACTCATAGATAGTGAGGGCCTCTGCTCCAGGCCTGCTTTCAACCTAGCTGTGTCAACAAAAGACTGCCAGACAGTTAAGAGTAATGACACCTGTGAAGATAACATGATTTCTTGGAAAAGCCTTCTATGGGAAATGAAATCAGTGTCCTGAAGAGACAGCTGTAGTCCCATGCTCATTGCAGCATTATTTACAGTAGCCAAAATATGAAGACAATCTAAGTAAGTGTCCATTGATAGAAAATGTGCTATACACATGATGGAATATTATTCAGCTACTAAAAAAAGAAGGAAATCCTGCCACTTGTGACAGGATGAATCTGGAAGACATTGTGGCAAGTGTAATAAACTAGGCAGAGAAAGACAAATACTGTAGGATCTCACTCATATGTAGTATCTTAAAAAAAAAAAAAGAGTTGAACTCATGGAAGCAGAGAGTAGAACGGTGGTTGCCAGGGTCTAGAGGGTGAGAGAAATGTGGAAATGTTGGTCAAAGATCTCTGATGCAGCATGGTGACTATAGTTAACAATATGGTAATGTATGTTAGGGCTTCCCTGGCGGCTCAGATGGTAAAGAACCTGCCTGCAATGAGGGAGACCTGGGTTCCATCCCTGGGTCAGGAAGATCCCTGGAGAAGGGAATGGCAACCCACTCCAGTATTCTTGCCTGGAGAAATTCATGGACAGAGAATCTTGGTGGGCTACAGTCCATAAGGATGCAAAGAGTCAAACATGACTGAGCAACTAACACTTTCACTAAATGTATGCATGAAATCTGCTGAGAGAGTAGATACAAAGTGTTCTCACCACTATCAAAAAAAAAAAAAAAACAGTGACATGTGAAGTGATAGATGTTTTTATTGACTTGATTGTGATGTGATAGTCATTTCACAATATGTATGTGTATCAAATCATCATGTTATACACTTTAAGTATGTACAATTTATTTGTCAATTATACTCAATAAAGTTGGAAGGACAAAAAAGAAAAGCATTTTGGGGTTATTCTGGATGCAAAGTACCCATGGTCCAGAGGAGAAGCTTCGCAGAGAGCAGATGAGAGTTTGCCTGGGGTTGTGGGGGGTGAGGTGACTGGCTTTCAAAGGGCACAGAAAAATTTTGGAGTTATTTGATTGAGCTGATGGTTCCACAGACTTATGCTAAAACTCATCAAGTTGTACATTTAAATATATACAGTTCACGCTACATAAATTATACCTCAATAAATCTAAAATATTTCAGAGGGATAAAAAAAGACTTAGTCTTACAGAGAAAAAAAATCTTACAGAGCTCTTTCCAAACAAGATGGATCATCTACACTTTAGGTATTTGCCAGAAACTCTATCTTGACTTAGTGTCAAAAGCCAGGTTGAAATGAATGGTATCTGAGAAGGTCAGGCCACAAGAATACTAACCATCCATTTGCTCATGTTCTGATCAGCAAAAGGAAAACATGTGAACCACATAAGCCTGGTACCTCATCAAAATGTTCTCAGTTAACCACAGTTTCTTGTAATGTTCTCAATTATTTTTAATCAAGGCTTGATATAAGAAGGAGCAATGTAAAAAAAAAGGGAGCAATGTGAATATTTTTGTTTTGAAAAAAAAAAGGAAATAAGAAGAAAGATGGAAATTTATGATAAGTAGAATTATAGTCCCTCAAAAATGTCCACTGGCTTCCCTGGTGGCTCAGATGGTGGTAAAAAAAAAAAAAAAAAATCCACCTGCAGTGCAAGAGATGTGGGTTTGATCCTTAGATTGGGAAAGTCCCCTGGAGAACGGAATGGCAACCCACTCCAGTATTCTCGCCTGGAGAATCCCATGGACAGAGGGGCCTGGCGGGCTGCAGTTCCATAGGGCCACAAAGAGTTGGACAAAATTGAGTGACAAACACTTTCACTTTCAAAGATATTCACATCATAATCTCTGGACCCTGTAAATATATTACCTTACAGAGCAAAGGGGAATTAAGGTTGCAGGTGGCATTAAGAATGTTAATCAGCTGACCTTAAAATGGGGAGATTGTTTGGATTATCCAATAACCCAGTTACCCCGGGTAGGCCTAATGTAATCCCGAGGGCCCTTAAATATAGAAGAGAGAGGCAGAACAGAAGAGCCTGCAGGAGATGTGACTGTGTAGAAAGGTACAGAATGATGCAGCCATTTCTGGCTTTGAAGACAGAAGAAGTGGCCGGTATCCAGGGAATGTGGGCTGACTCCAGAAGTCCGAGTTCTCCCCTAGGGCTGCCAGGAGGAACACAAACCTGCCAGCTCCTTGATTTTAGCCAAGATCCCTTTCAGATTTCTGACCCCCAGGATTATGAAATAATAAGTTACTGCTTTCAGTCAGGAAGATGGTGATACTCTATTAGAACAGCAATAGAGAACAGAGTGCTTCCAGTGAAGTAAAATAGCACTGGTTTCATTTATTTACACATTCACTTAACAAATATTGAAAACTCTCCCTGGGCAAAGCATTAAGTTGGGTGCCCTGTTGGGAACAAAGCAGGTACAGGTGGAAATGAAATCTATGGTGCCCATGAATGTAGGAACCGGACAATGGTCAGATACTGGAAAGAGAACAAGGAGAGGTACCACGCAGGATGAAGTGAAGTGAGTGAAAGTCGCTCAGTCGTGTCTGACTCTGTGATCCCATGGAATGTAGCCCACCAGGCTCCTCTGTCCATGGAATTCTCCAGGCCAGAACACTGGAATGGGTAACCTTTCCCTTCTTCAGGGGATCTTCCCAACCCAGGGATCAAACCCAGCTCTCCCGCATTGCAGGTGGATTCTTTACCAGCTGAGCCACAAGGGAACCCACCACGCAGGCTTTGGTCTCGAACGCTGCAGGGCCTGCCCGACTCTTCCATCTACGAACTGCTATATGATGTGGCCCAGCCTTCAGTGAGGGGTTCCCCGCCCTCCCCCCATCACTTCTCTCCTATCTCAGAGAAATAGAAGGTCCTTCTATTCCCACCTGCATTTTAGGTTTCAGGCCCTTTCCTCCAGTTATAAACGTGCCGAGAGCATTTGAAAACCTCAGTCAAAGGTGGAAACTACAACCCGCCACAAGAGTGTGCACGCGAGGTGACTGCATTTTTTTTTTTTTTTCTTTCCTGCCAAACCAGAATTAGCCGGTATGGGAATGAACAAGCCTGGAGATTTGAAATTGCACGGATTGGAAGGAAGCTCAGGTTAGGTTCGGGCACCTCCAAACGCACCCCACCCCACCCCCTTTTTTTTAAAGCCACATGGACTGAGGTCTCGATCTCCAAGCTCCCCAGGACGGAGCTGACCCGGCAGCGAGAGGCGGAGGCGCCGGGAGCCCGCACCGAGCGCCGAGCCGGGCGGATCGCCGAGCCGCGGGCGCAGGCAGCTCCGGGATGATCCGCGACATCGCCACAAATCTCTCCGCCCAACCGCTCCGGGGGCTCCGAGGAAGGCAGCGAGTTCGGAGATCCGGGCCGGGAGCCGAGTGAGGCCGCCGCCCGGCGGGCTGTGGGCGGTGAGTATCCCGGGCCGCGCGGCGCCGCGGGCCCGGGGATGGAGAGGCGCCGGGGGCATCTCGGACTGCGGTGGCCGCTGCGCCCCGAGACGCCCGGGAAGCGGCGGCGCGAGCCCCTGGGCTGGATCCGGGAAGGGGCTTCGGGCAATCGAGGGCAGGGCTGCGCGGAGGCGCGGTGGGCCAGCCCAGGCCGCCCGCCTGGGGGCTCGGGAGCCCCGGGCGAGGTCACCTCGGGGCTGGCGGGCTAGCGCCGGGCTGGGGCGGAGCGTGGGGACACGCGTAGCTCCCACCGCGGCCAGGGCCCCGCGCGCGTCGTCCAGGGTGGGCGGGGGGACCCGGGTCGGGGGACTTTCGGGGTTGCGGGAGGACTCCTGGCTTAGGCTGCCGGGACTGCGGTCGGCCCCGCTTCCCCGCGGAGCTGGGGGCTCCCAGCGTGTGGGGAGACGCGGGATGGAGAGGGGGTGAGGGGGTCTCGAGGTGCTGGGGAAGGGGGAGCACGGAGGGTCCCGGAAAGGGCGGCGCTGGGGGGAGGCGGGCGGCGCGGAGGCCGGATCGCTGGGGTCCAGCCCCAGGCGTGAGGTTCGGGTCCCTCAGAGCGGTTCTGATCGAGGTGCCTCAGGAAGGGAAGGGGAGACAAAAATGAGGCGAGGGGCCGGGGGCGGCCTTTTGGGGACTGGACACCGCTGAGGCCTCGGTCGGTGTTTTAGGAGCTCAACTCTGCTTAACAAGCTGTTTTCTTTCCACGGAAAAGCTGATCTAGGCTCATTAGCAAGGATGAGTGAGGGTTATTATTGGACATTAGAAAGGTTCCTTTTCGCTTTGCCTGTGAAGTGTGTGTGTGTGTGTGTGTGTGAGAGAGAGAGAGAGAGAGGCAGTCAGTCAGTCAGTCAGTTAGTTATTCACCATTCACTAGTGATGGTGGATAAAATAGGCTTTGGAATCCCTCAGACCCGGGTCCATATTTGGCTTACCACGCAGGTGGCGCCAGCAGTAAAGAACCCACCTGCCAATGCGGGTAGACTTAAGAGAGGTAGGTTCGATCCCTGTGTTGGGAAGATCCCCTGGAGGAGGGCATGGCAACCCACTCCAGTATCCTTGCCTGGAGAATCCCATGGACAGAGGAGCCTGGTGGGCTACGGTTCATAGGGTCACAGAGTCGGACATGACTGAAGCAACTCAGCACGCCTGCACCTGGTAGTTTAGCCTCTCTAAGCTGTGTGGCCCCCATTCTACAAGTAGCCTCGACTTCCTTATCTGTGAAACGGAACATTAGTATCAACTGGACAGAATCGTGGTGAAGCCACCGAGCACAATCCCTGGCCATAGGAGGCACTTAGGTGTTCAGTTCCCTCTAATTCAGCGTGAACTAGGGGTACCCGACAGTCGTTTCTACTGTGCTGTGGTCTCCGCACTAGCTCAGCTGCTGCAGGCTCTTTAGCCTGTTGACCTCCAGTGCACCCTCCAAATGTTGGATATTTCCAGTGCACACCAGGTCTAGAGTGCAAATATTGATAGAGCCAAATTACAGAGGGGCCCACTACACACCTACATCTAATGACGAACCTGCTACCAGCATAGCTGCCCACCTCTGGGGAAGACTATATTTTAAATTTTATTTTGGAGCTTTCCCTTTCATGTCTCATTTATAATGAACTCCTTACATGCTAACATAATTGAGCCCGATGCTGGGAAAGATTGAAGGCAGGAGGAGAAGGGGACGACAGAGGATGAGATGGTTGGATGGCATCACTGATTCAAGGGACATGAGTTTGAGCCAACTCTGGGAGATAGTGAAGGACAGGGAAGCCTGGCATGCTGCAGTCCATGGGATTACAGAGAGTTGGACCGAACAACATCACCATAGTCAAATTAAAAATCGATGACTTGCTTATAAAACTTACTCTCCTAAGAGTGGTGTGGAAAGTTTAATTTCCTTTTAATCTCTGAAACACTCCAGCAGGCTCTGAATTATTTTCATTTCTGCCTGTTACCAGGTAAATATGTATACCATGTATTCCATGTCATAGCCTGTGTGTGTTACTTCATTTACCCCATAAATAGTTTCTCTTTCACTGGTAATGAACTCACTTTAGGTAAGGATGAGAAGTTGACTATTGGTCCCTAATCTTCCCATCTCCTTCCTTCAGCTTCTTCAGTGCATGGCCCTAATGTGACGGGCAGAGCTTCTATTGTAGGTGAGCCTAGAATGGGTTACATGTTATACTTCCCTTTCTATCATTAGGCAGACTATCCTCTCATGGGGGAGAAGAGGGTGTTGGGGAAGCACACGCACAAGTCTACAGCCCAATGCAGACTAGTATTCCCAAGGGAAATGGCTCTAAATTGCCACTAATCTACTGGTGGCAAGAAGCTGAACCAGGAGATGTTTAAAAGATAGAGGGAACTTTACTTTCTTATAATAAAGTTTGTTATTCAGTCACTAAGTTGTGCCTGACTCTGCCACCCCATGGACTGCAGCACACCAGACTTCCCTGTCCTTCACCACCTCCTGGAGCTTGCTCAAACTAATGTCCATTGAGTCGGTGATGCCATCCAGTCATCACATCCTCTGTCGCCCCCTTCTCCTGCCCTCAATCTTTCCCAGCATCGAGGTCTTTGCATCAGATCGCCAAAGTATTGGAGCTTCAGCATCAGTTCTTCCAATGAATATTCAGGGTTGATTTCATTTAGGACTGACTGGTTTGATCTCGATATATATTTATTTAGAACTCTTCCCAAAAATTTAAATAAAGAGAGAAATTATTTGAAAGACCATCATTCAAAGAATAATCTCCATCAACAGGTTTGTTTCACTCCAGTCTTTCCCCACCCCTACGTATAACATATTTTTAAAAACAACCAAAAAGGAGTCATTTCATGCACCCCATTTTGTGACCTCCCCAAGTATAATTCACACCTTGAAAGTGAAAGTGAAGTCGTGTCAGACTCTTTGTGACCCCATGGACTGTAGCCTATCAGGCTCCTCCGTCCATAGGATTTTCCACGCAAGAGTACTGGAGTGGGGTGCCATTTCCTTCCTTTATAAATCTTCAAAGAGCCTGTGTAGTTTTATTTTTGATTGTGCACTGGCATTGCGTAGCTATGGCATGAGTGATTGATTTAACACTTACTGTAATGTTGGATATTAGAGATATTTGTAAGGTGTTTTTTTTTTTTTCCTCATTCTTTCAAAATTTCACTGTTAGAATTCAGTTAAACCTTGAAGGATGAGCAGAAGAGGAGCAGGAGATTAGAAGGAGAGAAGAGTGTTCCCGAAAGAAGAAAACATCATGCACAAAAACTTGCAAGGCTGTGCCAGGTTCAGGGAGCTGCAGGTGCTTCCACCAGCCTGGAAAGTAGAGGCCAAAGGTGAAGAACGGGAGGAGGGAGCTGGCAGGGTGGCAGATAACGCGAGAGGAGAACCTGGGGGCAGACAGGGCAGTTTGAACTTGATCCTCAAGATAACCTGACAGGGTGGGGAAGTTACACGGTAAGATAGCATTTTATCTCTCCCAGCAGCCTGGGTAAACGAGAGGGGGACCCAGCAGAGAGCAGCATTGCGGGCAGGAAGTGTAGTGGCTGAGAACTGCCCAGCTGTTCAAGAGATAAAATCATCTAAAAGATAAAAACAATGAGTATGAAAGGAAGAGTCAAGATGTGTTAATTGCTTGGTGGTGTCCAACTCGTTGCAACCCCACGGACTGTAGCCTGCCAGGATCTCTGTCTGCGGAATTTCTCAGGCAAGAGTACTGGAGTGGGTTGCCATTTCCTTCTCCAGGGGATCGAACCCGGGTCTCCTGCATTGCAGGTAGACGCTTTACTGTCTGTGCCTCCAGCAAAGCCCAAAAGATAAAAATAATGAGTACAAGAAAAAGTAAGAGTCAAGATGAGCCCCAGGATAGATCCTTTAAATTGCTCTTCCACTAGCATCCCTGATCCTTTAGTGCCTGTTTCTTCCCAACAAACTCTTAGCCTGAGGATTAGTGAACTTTTCCTACAAAGGATCAGAGAGTAAGCATTTTTAAATTCTGTGGTCGCATAGCCTTCGAAAAGGTAAAAACAATTCTTTGCTCAGGAGTATACAGAGACAGGCTGTGCAAACGGCACAGGGTGCTTCCCTAAAGGAGGTTGGGTGCCGGGTGCTTTGCCACAGTCTGCTTCTCTGTCCTCTCGTCCATGTGCCAGTACTGCACAGAACAGCCCCCCAGTTGGAGGTGTTCCTAGTGTACTGGGACCGTTTTTTACATCACCTTCCTCCACTGCAACAAAAGGATTTTCAGTAATAATCACATGTCATGGTCAGTAATAATTGTTTTCTGATTTGCTCTTCTGTTTTAAAATAATTACCTGAGACAAAGAACGCATTTGCATTTTAAAGATATTATTCAACTGAGTAAAACGTTTCATGCATTGACTACTTTCCAAACCCAAGTTTTTCACCCTGTGGTCTTGCACTGTTTCGCTCTTTTAAATTTTAAATAAAAATAAAGACTGCAGGTGGGCATGTGGAGGGCAAAAGTCAAGTAGCTGGCATCCTGCTGTTCATCTCCACCATCATGTGATGTCAGGGTCCATCTCGAATGTCCTGCTAAAGGCAGTGATGTGTAACACTGCAGGCATTGCAGATCCAAACTGAGCTGAGGTGAGTGTCAGCAGTTCTAAATTCTTAGAAACTCTTACTGTCAAAACAGATATGTGCATACAGATGGTCAAAAGACACAGGAAAAGATGTTCAATGCAAATTAAAATTTCAGTGGTCAGAATAGCCACCATCAAGAAGTCTACAAATAATAAGTGCTGGAGAGGATGTGGAGAAAAAGGGAACCCTCCTACACTGTTGGTAGAAATGTAAATTTGTGCAGCCACTATGGAAAACAGTGTAGAGATTCCTTTAAAAACTAAAAATAGAGTTGCCATATGATCTAGCAGTTCCACGCATGGGCATGTATCTGGAGAAAACCATAATTCAAAAAGATACATGCACCCAAATTTTCACTGCAGCACTGTTTACCATAGCCAAAACATGGAAGTAGCCAAAATGTCCATCAACAGAGGATTGGATAAAGAAGATGTGGTACATATATACAATGGAATGATATTCAGCCATTTAAAAAAAATATGAAATAATGCCATTTGCAGTAATATGGGTGGATCTAGAGATTGTCATACTGAGTGAATTATGTCAGATAGGAAAACACAAATATCATATGCTATCACTCATGTGGAATCTAAAAAATGAAACAAATGAACTTATTCACAAAACAGAAACAGATTCACACTTAGAAAATACACTTACGGTTACCAAAGAAAAAAGGTCAGAGGGAGGGATAAATTAGGAGTTTGGGATTAACATATATACACTACTGTATATAAAATAATCAATAAGGACCTATTGTATAGCCCAGGAAGCTACATTCAATATTATATAGCATACAACTGAATTGCTGTGCTATACTCCTGACACTTACATGATATTGTAAATCAACTATACTTCAATAAAAAGATTTTTAAAAAAGAAAAAGAGCCAGAAGTGTGCAGCTGGGACCCTACATGTGTCAGTTCAGTTCAGTCACTCAGTCGTGTCCAATTCTTTGTAACCCCATGGACTGTAGCACACCAGGCTTCCCTGTCCATCACCAACTCCCGGAGTTTGCTCAAACTCATGTCCATTGAGTCAGTGATGCCATCCAACATCTCATCCTCTGTCATCCCCCTCTCCTCCTACCCTCAATCTTTCCCAGCATCTGGGTCTTTCCCAATGAGCCAGTTCTTCTCATCAGGTGGCCAAAGCCAAAATATCACCATTAGTTCTCTGAAATAACTTCCATCTACATGTGTTTAGAAAATGATGCTGATGTGACGCTTACAGACATAATATGAAAACATCATCGTTAAAAAAAAAAAAAAAATCCTTGTTTGAAACTCTGATCAACAAAGGATTTTTTCAGGGAAGAGTATTTTGTCAGTGACATCTAGAATTACTGGCACAACAGTGATGACAAAAAAGACCAACTTTTAGTCGTTTGTTCTTGCTTTTTTTATTCTCGTTGGTGGCTTCTGGGGCCAAGTGCCCCCTCTGCTCTGTCCGTGGTGCTTCACTGCCCCGCAGGGCTCAGCTGCCCAACAATCATTTCCACTTGTTGTAGGCAGTAGTTTGTTTCATTATCCTGAGCACTGAAGCCCCAACATAGCCACCATCCTCCTCATTCTCAACCAATGAGCTAGCTTCATTAGACTAACAAGCATCACTTTCCACCCCATGCTTACCATCTTATCTCTATCTACCTGCTGCTTCCTCTAGTCTTAGAGGATTGGTTACCCTTCCTGATCAAGACTAACCCTGTCCCATGACGTCTGGGGTTAGTCATTTTCTTTCTCTCTGGGATTCCCAAGTGGCTCAGTGGGTAAAGAATTTGCTTGCGGTGCAGAAGTCACAAAAGAATTAGGTTTGATCTTTGGGTTGGGAAGATCCCCTTGGGGAAGGGCATGGCAGTCCACTCCAGTGTTCTTTCCTGGAGAATCCCACCGACAGAGGAGCCTGGCCGACTATGGGTCCATGGGGTCACAGAGAGTCAGACCCAACTGAAGTGACTTAGCACACATGCATCTATGTCTGTCTCTGTCTTTATCTCTATCTCTATTTTTTTCTTTATCCTCAGCTCCTATGCACATACTTCAATCTCATCCTACAAGATAAAACCAGAGACCTTCCCTGACCTGGTATCGTCTCCCCTCTAGCTCCATCCAACCTCCATCCTCTTGATCGAACAACTTGAGAGATGGGTCTATGCAAAGCACATACCCCATCTTATCTCTTCCTTGTGTAAATGCAGCTGCCAACTGTTCATTTTGTAAAGATAAACTCCAAGATCCTTTTTTGACACATAAGGGCCTTCAAGATCTAGCCCCTGGCTTTCTGGTAACCTGAACATCACTGTTGTGTCCAAATTTCTTTAGTCTGATTTCCTATTGTCTTAGCAGTTTTCTAGCTTCCCAGCTAAATGCTCAGAATGGAGGTGGACAGAGGGGATAAAAGTAAGTCATGTATGTAAGACATAGCATCACCATTATTAAAAAACTCTATCGCCCCTTGTCAGATAACAAATTAGCCTTCTTCTTTACCAGTCTCCCCTGAGTTGGGTTCGTATGAGTCAGTCCCCCTGGGGCTAACCCACTGTAGCTGTACTGAACAAATTGAACACTTGGACCCACAAAACTGAGAACACTATCCTCTGCCAAGAGCCCACACAGGACCGGGCTACCCTACCTAAGACCAGGCACCTTCCTTCTCTGACATCTGTGTTATCTGTCAGTTTCCATCTCAGTAAGGGACACAAGGCTTGGGTTTTGGAATCAGGAATAGCTGGGTTCAATTCCCAGGTTCCTATCTAGCCATACTATCTACTGGCCTTGAGAACTTGGGAAAGGTGCTTAACTTCTCTGAGTCGATTTTAATTTCTTTGAAATAACCATCATAGCATTTATATATAGGATGACTGTAAAGATGAAAAAGATTTCATAAAAGCACTTGGCCTTGCAAAAAAGCAAAGCGTGTTCCCAAATCTACATAATGATGAAGACTAAAGATCCAGTGTGATGGTGGGGTGACTTTGGTTTTGATGGGGAGGTAGTGCTGTCCAAAGAAGAAGGAGATATTTTTTGTTCTGATGTTCCATGAAATTATTTGTCCTTATGTATTTCAGAACATCTTGGAAAATGTATACAAGTCATGAAGACATTGGGTATGATTTTGAAGATGACCCCAAAGATAAGAAAACACTTAAACCCCACCCAGACATTGATGGTGGCTGGGCCTGGATGATGGTCTTGTCTTCTTTCTTTGTGCACATCCTTATCATGGGCTCCCAGATGGCCCTGGGGGTCCTCAACGTGGAGTGGCTTGAAGAATTCCATCAGAGCCGCGGCCTGACGGCGTGGGTTAGCTCCCTCAGCATGGGCGTCACCTTGATTGTGGGTATGTTCATGCGTGACCTGTTGTCAATTATAATTATAATATAATTATAATTATAATATGACAGTCCCTCGCTGTAAGTCATGCTTTATCTCATTGAAGTACTAGAGATTAGATGTTAGTGGATGTTACCCTTGTTTTGATTGTGGTCAGATATACCTAACATGAAATTTACCCTTTTAACCATTTTTAAGTATACAGTTCAATACCATTGAGTACATTCATCACCACCGTCCATCTCCAGAACTTTTCTCATCTTCCTAAACGGAAATCCTATCAATTAAGCCATAAGTCCCCATCGCCACCTCTCCTCTCAGCCCCCTATCTCTGGCCACTGCCATTCTGTTTTATGTCTCTATGAATTTGTTTACTGTAAGTACCTTGAATAAGTAGACAGACAATATTTGTTCTTCTGTGTGATACTCCTATTTGAGCACTGTAAACATTTTGAGCATTTAAAAAAATCATTAAAAATGTTTGCCCCTGTTTTCTTAACTATTATAAATCATTACCTACCATTACAAATCTGTTTTTAAACACTTATCAATATTTTTAAAAGATAAAAAACTTACAGAAAAACACAGTAAAAGTAAATAACCATCTTATTTCAGAGCCCTAGTGTTTTATATTTGAAATATTGATCCCATGTCATTGAAAAATCTATTAAGCTGTTTTTAGAAAGGTTATTGATACAGCTAACAGGAAGGAATAATAACATATTGTATTTTGTGGTTTAACCTAACCACCCAGCAATCTATGAAAGCAATTCTTATCTCGTGGGAAATGGTAAATCAGAAAGCTGGAAAAAAGTGAAAGTGATTAGCCACTCAGCCGTGTCCAACTCTTTGTGAGCTCATGGACTGTAGGCCGCCAGGCTCCTCTGTCCATGGGATTCTCCAGGCAAGAACACTGGAGAATACTGCCCTGCCCTCCTCCAGGAAAAACATAAATGGCCTCAAATATCTTCCTGGTTGTGAAAGTATGTGTATGACAGGCATATGTGTGTTTGACAACAGTCTTTGTCTTGTCAGTGATTTCCACATTGGTAATTAATTGCTTGAATTCAATTCAGAGATTTGTTGATCTTGGCTGGTATTCAGCCAGTTGTTTTTTTTTTTTGGATAATACTAGTGACAGTAACGGTGGCAGTGCTAATGACAGAAAACAAGGACAGAGTGTTACTTCTCAAGATGTGTGCAGGGAGTATGTGTTTATCACATGGAATGGTTACTGATCTAGTTTTAAAATTAAATAAGGACACTATTATGTGTGTAAGTGAATTGTTGATAAATCATTTTTGCCTGTAACTGTGACGAACTGACTGACTCCTTCAACCCTGCCGTGGCCTTGTTCGAATCAGGACTGTTGTATCATATAAGAAGTGCAAGTAGATTAACCTTAGTGCAGGGAATTTGCTAGTTTTATGTTGGATATGGGCTTCCCTGGTGGCTCAGATGGTAAGGAATCTGCCTGCAATGAGGGAGACCCTGGTTTGATCCCTGGGTTGGGAAGATCCCCTGGAAGAGGGCATGGCAACCCACTCCAGTACTCTTGCCTGGAGAATTCCATGGACAGAGGAGCCTGTCGGGCTATAGTCCAGGGAGTTGCAAAGAGTCAGACATGACTGAGCGAATAACACTTTCATGTTGGATATAATTTTACCTTCTCAATGAGTAAGTAAAAGAAAACTAGTCTTCTGAAATACTTAAAATCCATTTTCTCACCTTTTTTAAAATAAACATTTAGAGGGTAGAACAAAATACTTTCAGATTCAAACTAGGAAGTGTACGTGTACAACAAAAAAGAAAATTCAGCCAAAGTCCAGGATATTTGTCCCAATATTTTCCAAACCATCCAGTAAGATTGTCTTTGGTGTTACTTCATGTTTCACAAGCTCCACAGGCATAAACAATGGAAATCAGTCCTAAAGTTATTGGATGTGGTTCTTGGACTTCCTTCATAGCTCAGCTGGTAAAGAATCTGCCTGCAATGAGGAGATCCCGGTTCAATTCCTGGGTTGGGAAGATCCCCTGGAGAACAGATAGGCTACCCATTCCAGTTTCTTGGGCTTCCCTTGTGGCTCAGCTGGTAAAGAATCTGTCCACAATGCGGGAGACCCGGGTCCGATCCCTGGGTTGGGAAGATCCCCTGGAGAAGGGAAAGGCTACCCACTCTAGTATTCTGACCTGGAGAGTTTGATGGACTCTCATGGGGTCACAAAGAGTCAGACACAATTAAGCTACTTTCACTTTCACTTTCCTGAAGATGATCCCCCAGATCAGAACACCTAACTCAACAGTGGTGATGAAATGTGATTGTCACCTTTAATTGGGAGGTAACCGTGGGTTCTGAATTCTGAGAGTCCTTCAATTCCAGACAGTGGAGCTTCCGACAGTAGAATAACCTTTCTTCAGGAAAGGTGCCTGCCAGATAAACATCTTTTATCTTGTGCTCAGAAATTACAGCACAGCAAGGCTCATATAAATGAAAGGTCTTTTATTCTGTCTATCATGACCCTAAATTGCTATTCATTATCTAAGGTGCCTGATACAGATGGCAGCAGATACGTTGGGTGCTTTCCAAGGCAGAAGCTAGCAAAAAGCTCTCCTTTATTTAGCGCTTATTGCACACCACATGTGGGCTTCCCAGGTGGCGCTAGTGGTAAAGAACCTGCCTGTCAATGCAGGAGATACAAGAGAGGTGGGTTCAATCCCTGGGTCGGCAAGCTCCCCTGGAGAAGGGTATGGCAACCCACTCCAGTATTCTTGCCTGGAAAATTCCATGGACACAGAAGACTGGTGGGCTACAGCCCATAGTGTTAAGAGTCGGACAGGACTGAAGCTACTTAGCATGCACGAATTCATGCACTTGCCAAGTGCGTATGGTGTACGTGATCTCATTTGATTCTCTGGCAAGCCTGGGGGCCAGACCATCATCTTCATCTCACAGAGGAGAACATGCAACACTCAGAGACATTACGTTACTGAAGTTAACTTGTAACCAGTAAGTGCGGGACAGGCTTCAAATGTGGTCCATTGGACTCCAAAATGATGCCCACTCTACCACCCTGCCTGCCAGGACACTGAATGAGAACCGAAAATATATTTGAAGTGAATAAGTATAAACAGTTTTCTCTTTCTCATCCTTGTAAGGACGCTGAGTTACACTTTTAAAAATGCCATGAATTGTGTCACAGAGTTGAAAGCACTCTCTTGGGCAGTGACTCGCACATGGGAAATTAAGTAAACTCATTCTTTTTTTTATTTGGCTGCGTTGAGTATTAGTTGCAGCACTTGAGGTCTTCCTTGTGTCATATGAGGTCTTTCATCTCAGCACACAGACTCTCTAGTTGTAGCATACAAGCTCAGTAGTTGCATGGGCTTCATTGCTCCACGGCATGTGAGATCTTAGTTCCCTGACCAGGGACTGAACCCATGTCCCCTGCATTGCAAGGCTGATTCTTTAACTGCTGGATCACCAGGAAGTCCCAGCTTAGTAAGTTTTTAACCTGAAATAGACCCACCTGAACATAGGGTTTCATAACTATATAAAGTAATAATGATAAAAAATGTGATGTCTTTTTTATTTTTTGGCGACACTGCACAACTTGAAGGATCTTACTGCAATGAGAGTGGAGTGCTGAGTCTTAACCACTGACTGCCAAGGAATTCCCTAAGATGATGTTTAAAATGCATGATCTTGGACTTCCCTGGTAGTCCTGTGGTAAAAACTACACCCTTCCAGTGCAGGGGACTTGGGTTCCACCCCTGGTTGGGGAACTAAGGTCCCACATACCACACAGCACAGTCAAATAAATAAAATGGATGATCTTACTGAATGCTCCAGTACTTTGATCACCTGTTGTGAAGAGCCAACTCACTGGGAAAGACCCTGATGCTGGAAAAGACTGAGCGCAAAAGGAGAAGGGGAGACGGAAGATGAGATGGTTAAATAGCATCACTGACTGAGTAGATATGAATTTGAGTAAACTTCAGGAGATAGTGAAGGACAGAGGAGCCTGGTGTGCTGCAGTCCATGAGTTTGCAAAGAGTCAGATCCAACTTAGCGGCTGAACAACAACACTGAATGTTGAGTACAGCCTCAAATGGTATTACTAAAATATAGATTGCTGTTTGAAGAAGGAATCACTTATCCCAAGACAAGTTGCCACAAAGGCAGGAAGAAAGAAGGGTTGACAAAAATTAAAAAAAAAAAAAAAAGAGTGAAGTGTATTCCTGAATCTTCACACAGTGTCATAAATGCATAGCCTGATGGGTCCCATTGGAACTGAGAGTCAGCAGAGGTTGAAGTATGTGTGACGTCATGAGAAGTTCTTTCTGGCTTGGTTTGCATCTAGATGTCCTCATGAAAACAGGCTATAAGTGCCTCGCCTGAAGCATGGATGTCCCGAGAGCCCCCTTCTATACTCCCTTAAAGCCTGGAGGAAAAACTCCAATGTGAACAGAGGCCAAACAAGCAATGTAAATGCGACCAGGAGGCCAAATAAGAGACTAATATTTGGGTGGGGGCTGCGGCAAACTGGAGAGGGTGTGACACAGCTAAACGGGATCACCTACCGCACAGGACCAGCTGCTTTGGGCCATATGGGAAGGATTTTTTGTGAATAATCCTAATTTTTAAATGTTGGTAACTGACTCAAAACATTTAAAATTTTGTTCTCGATAAACAAAATGTATCCACAGGCTGGGTGGAGCCTCTGGATCTCTAGTCTAGGATCTGTTGTAGACCAGAGAATGAATCAACATGTCTATTTATTTCAGGTCTGTCTTTCCTAAAAATCTAGAACCTTGTGTCATGTGGGGACATTATTGAAACCTGTCTTTGAATGCCAAAAGCTCTCTGCACATAAGGCCACGGCGGGGGGGGGTTGGTTTGTTTTAGTTAACAGCTCTAGTAAAGTTTTGTCTTCATATAGAGATTCCCTAAGAAAAAAAATGAAAATAAAATGCTACTCAGTTCAGTTCGGTTTACTCAGTCGTGTCCGACTCTTTGCAACTCCTTGAACCACAGCATGCCAGGCCTCCCTGTCCATCACCAACTCCCGAAGTTTACTCAAACTCATGTCCATTGAGTCAGTGATGCCATCCAACCATCTCATCCTCTGTCACCCCTTTCTCCTCCCGCCTTCAATCTTTCCCAGCATCAGGGTCTTTTCAAATGAGTCAGTTCTTCGCATCAGGTGGCCAAAGTATTGGAGTTTCAGCTTCAGCGTCAGTCCTTCTAATGAACACCCAGGACTGATTGATCTCCTTTAGGATGGACTGGTCGGATCTCCTTGCAGTCCAAGGGACTCTCCAGAGTCTTCTCCAACGTCACAACTCAAAAGCATCGATTCTTCGGTGCTCAGCTTTCTTTATGGTCCAACTCTCACATCCATACATGACCACTGGAAAAACCATAGCCTTGACTAGACGGACCTTTGTTGGCAAAGTAATGTCTCTGCTTTTTAATATGCTGTCTAGGTTGGCCGTAACTTTCCACTAGTCAGTTCCTTTCTTAATGTTCTGTGGCAGGACCTTTCATCGGCTTGTTCATTAACACCTGTGGGTGCCGCCGGACGGCCATCATCGGAGGGCTGCTGAACTCGCTGGGCTGGGTGTTGAGTGCCTACGCCGCCAACGTGTATTATCTCTTTATTACCTTTGGACTGGCAGCTGGTAAGCATTGTGGATTTCCTTCCCCTTTTTTTTTTTTTTTGGCCACACCGCACACCGTGTGGAATCTTAGTTCCCCAACCAGGAGTGGAACCCACACCCCTTGGTTTGGACGCACAGAGTCTTGACCACTGGGCCTCCAGGGAAGTCCCCATAAGTGGTTTTCCTAAACTTGACTTTATGTGTTTCTGTTGAGCATTCAGGCAATGAATTTCATCATGGAGAAAAGAGACCCATTAAATATTTAGTCCCTTTGTCTCTACCCCACCCTATCCATATCCTATCCTCCAGGTAATACTTTTCATATAAGATGTTAAATATACCTGAAGCGTGAGGAGACAACCTAACAGCTATGCTTGGCCTCCCTAATAGAATTTAATTAAATTTTCTATACCTGGTTCTAAGTGCTAGTCCTTCTCTTATAACAAAACCCACGTACTAATAACATTCTGTCATTTAAGAACTGCAGAATCCAGCGTGAATCAGAGAAAAATCACGTTCTCTTTTGGCTCTGTTCAAATTAATGAAATAGCCGCAAAACCCACACAGATTTAGAGACTGTAAGAATCCAATCCAGAGCAGAGTGGCAGTCCCCAGGGGATATATAAAAATTGGCTGTCAGGCAGCACAGTTTGCATATCCATTTTGCAAAATGTATTCCCAGCCATAATTTCTTCTATCAATAGATAGCAGAATGCACACAGATAAGTAGTTTCTTACTCATACAATTGTATTTCAGTGAACCGGATCCAGCCTGACCTTTTTGAATACAGAGCTATAATTGTCATAAATGGCACCTTGATGGCACTGTTTTCGTAAAGAGTTCAAAGTTAGAGTTGGAACCCTTGCTTTTTTTTCCCCACTTATATGTGTGACTTTGGGAAAATTACTTAACTTGCTTATGCCTCAGTCTGTTTATCTGCAAAATGGAATAATTGACTGCTTGGCTTACAGGGTTGTTGAAAAGGTTATATGAAATGATCTGTATGAAGCACTTAGCACAATGCTTGGCACATAATAAAGTCTTAAGCAAATGTTAGCTAATATATAATTGTTATTACATATGATATAACATTTTTAGTATAAGCTTAAGTTTATGCTTTAAGGTAGCAGAAGAGGTGAACATAAAAACCAACTGTCCATATAAGCTGACAAGTTGGTTCTCTGTGATGTATCCACATATACATCTTTAGGTGTAAAAAGCACTTCTGTATTCTATGAAGCCTAATTTGGAAACCATTGATCTGAAGGACGTGACAACACTTCTTAAAGAACAATTCAAAATGTTTTTCTTGAGGTGATTTAGAAACTGCCCCATCACAGTCCAAGAATAGAGCTGGCACAGGGATTTTACTTTTGCTAAAACTAAGTCACACCAGTCTCTGGGCACACATATGGGAGCCCCTAGGAACTTGATCCATGTTGTCTGGACATATGTACTATGAATCGACCCCCAACACCAGTACTTGAGGGAGTTGCCTGGCGGTCCAGTGGGTTTACCAGTGTTAGAACTTGGCCTTTCACTGCCATGGCTCAGGTTCAATCCCTGGAACTAAGATCACACAAGCATGGCCAAAAGAAAAAACTAGGACTTGAAATTTATTCCCATCATTTAGAGATGCCTATGGTCAGACTCTTTGTTTCAGACTCTTCGTTTAAATGGAATTTTATATCTTGCAATTAGTTGCTTTTGATCCTCAAATAATATGATCTCCATATTCATTCATTTACTTATTTATTCAACAAGTATTTTTGGATCCAAAGAAGTAGGAAAAAGATCAGGAGACCAGTGAAAGGAAAGTGTTTCTTGAAACACTTTATTGCACCCACTTTTTATACAGGAAACACTCAAAGAAAGTCTCTGAAAATAAATGTATCCACTTTCTCCACAAACATATATTATAATTATATTTAAGTGGAAAATCCAGCTAAATCAGCTAGCTTGTATACTCTTGGGCTGTCGTTAGTGAGACATTTTGAAGCTGATTGACCCCTATTTTATAGAAAAGAAAAAAGTTAGATGCAAATATCTGCAAGAAGTGAGTGACTGAAACAACAAAAACAAAACTAAATTAATTTTAAAATTTTTAAATAAAATATTTTTAAAGCAAGTTATTGAGATATCTATGTGTGTATGCATGTTTATCACTATTCAGTGATAAACATATTTGTATATCTGTATGTACATATCTCTTTATGTTTGAAAGAGACTTTGTTGACATCCTTCTTCATTACAAGAAGCATTTGAGGCAGACTTTTTGGTATTTGTTTTTTTAACATCTAGGCAATTAGAATTACATGGATGTCCTCTTAATGAGCAGAAAATTAACATCTGTTTGAGTGATCTTACTTACCCAGGAGAGTCTGGACAAATTTCTTCAGCTCTGCCATTTAAGGGCTCCATTTTCTTACTCAGCTCCTGGAAGAACCTTTCCCTCCAGTCCGTGCTTTTTACTCAAATCCACAGGATTGATTCCTCCCTGCTCGGGGCCTTCTTCTTCTTCCTGGCTTATCCGGGTACAAAGTGAAAGTGTTAGTGGCTCAGTCGTCTCCGACGCTTTGCAACCCCATGGGCTGGAGCCCTCCAGGCTCCTCTGTCCATGAGTTCTCCAGGCAAGAATACTGCAGTGGGTTGCCATGCCCTTCTCCAGGAGAGCTTCCCCACCCAGGGACTGAACCTGGGTCTCCTGAATTGCAGACGGATTCTTTACTGGCTGAGCCACCAGGCAATCGACCTGATGTGGTGAAGAATTGTTCCAGGGTCCTGCTTGACCACTGCGCTTGGGCCTCAGTATCCCCAAGGCCTGTCCTACACACTCAGAGAATAACTGTGCCGATTAAGAATCATAAAGTCACACGAGGAAGGGGGATATTGTTCAGGACGTGGAGAGGGTATCAGATGCTTATAGCATCAGACACAGAATTTTTTTTTCTCATACATGGGAGTATTTATTATTTAAATGATGTTATAATTGGTGCTACTCTTATGCTTTGGTCTCTTTATTCGGTTCCTTATCAGTCATTTCATTCTGCTGCTGTTTAGCGATCCGTAACCACATTTAATTTAGGATGTTGGTTACTATCAGTGACAAATCAGATTTTGAAAAGTAAACTTTTGCACCTTCAGCAAAATGCAGAAGGGCAAATTTCAAAGGACAAATGATCCAGTTTCCTCAACAAGTAAATTGTGAGGAAAATAAAGAGAGAACTTAAGAGACTTAAAATGTATATATCAACAAATAGCAATGTGTGGGCCTTACTTGATTTAAACAAATCTTTTAAAAATATGGTCATTTTTGAGACAGGGTCTTTCCCAGTGGCTCAGCGGTAAAAAAAAAAAAAAAAAAAAAAATCCACCTGCAGATGCAGGGTACATGGGTTCGATCCCTGGGTCGGGAAGATCCCCTGCAGAAAGAAATGGCAACCCACTCCAGTATTCTTGCCTGGAGAATTCCATGGACAGAGGAGCCTGGCAGGCTAAAGTCCACGGGGTCACAAAGAGTCGGAAATGACTAAGCAATTGAGCAGCAGCATAAGGCAATTAGAAATTTAAACACCTTCTGGATATTTTATATCAAGGAATGATTCATTTTTCAGATAAAATAATGATAAGATTATCCAGTTTAAGGGATTCATCTATTTTAAAAGCTTGAGCAAAATGCTTCTGCAGCTCCATCCTGGAAGCCAGGGGATGAGCAGTTAAGGGTGAGACAGAGCACAGACAATGGAAAGGGACCAGACCCTGCAGTTGGGTCTGAATTCCCATCCAGATTCTCCGGCTACCTGCTGCAAGGTCAGGGAAAGTTTCTCAATCTCCATGAGGTTCAATGCTCCCTTTAATAATCTGGGCATAACCACAGGTAGCTTTCAGGTTATTGTGAAAATTAAACCAGATAAAACCCGAAAGGCAACAGGCACATCATCGCCACTCAATTAGCGGTAACTGTTATTATTATATTTGCGTGTATGACTGCTCTGGTCTCCTTCCAAATTAAAGTAATTCTGAAACTGTTAAATGATGCTGAACTAGGGAAGCATCTCAGCTTTGGAGCATGCTGTTGGTCACAGTCTCTTCTCTGCTATTAAGCTGCTATCCTAATGTCAGGAGGTTGTAAACATTAGAATGCAATGGGACCCCTTGAACAACTGAAGCGGGGTTTTATGGTTTCCCTCCATCTGTACCTAAAAGTTGAGAACACAACCCTCAACCTCTTGGCCAGTGCTTTATTTGATTTGGTTTCATATTTATTTTATTTTTAAATAAACTTCATTTTTAGAGCCATTTTAGGGCTTCCCAGGTGCGCTGCAGTGGTAAAGAACCCACCTGCCACTACAGGAGACATAAGAGATGTGGGTTCAATCCCTGGGTCAGAAAGATCCCCTGGAGAAGGAAGTGGCAATCTACTCCAGTGTTCTTGCCTGGAAAATTCCATGGACAAAGGAGCCTGGTGGACTTCAGTCCATGGGGTCACAAAGTGTCGGACGCAACAGCACAGCACCACGACTGTTAGGTTCAGCAAAATTGTGTGAAACCACAAAGTGTTCCCAGTACCCCCTGCCCCCAACACTCACCACCGTCCCCAGCAGCGTTTTAATTTTGTCCATGTCAACCACCAGCTTGTCCTGTTTTCTAAGAAAAATACAATTAAAAACATCAGAGCTACAAATGAGTCTTAGGTGGTTTTGACGTCTCCTGGCTATGTATACTCATGGGTACATTTTAATTCCTTTTATTCTTCTGATGAATTTGGGAACACACTGGCCCATTCCTGAGGCTTCTGCCAATTGCCTGGAGTCACTGCCTCCCCTTGTCCATGAGTACTTTCTGTGTATTAAATGCAATTAGCACTGACAGCAGAACGCTCAGAATGCATGCTATCTTTCACAAATCACTAAGCACATGCTATGTATTATGGGCAGTGCCCCGCATACCGGGGCGAAAATACCCACAGTCCTGCCCTGGTGGAGCTTATATTCTCATGTGAGGATGCAGACTTACTTTAGTTGTTTATTTAGTATATATAACTTATCTAATATAATTTATTATTATTATTATTATTATTGGTATAACCTATGCTGAAAAGCCTGTTGGGAGAAATGATGGACTAGAAAAAGGCTTCTGTTGGTAATGGTCTTGGTACTTACCTCCCAAGCTCCTTTTTTTTAAACAATCATGATTGGATCTTTGTTTAAAAGAAAAGTTAAACAAAAGAAGAGAAAACTCAGCATGGGTGGAGGCCACAGTAGGAAAAGCCCAAATTTTGGACGACAAAAACACACCTGGGTTGAGATTCTTTCTGAGTGTCAGCTTCTCCAAGTACAAAAATGGGCATAATGGCATCTATTGTGTAAGATGTTACCTTTTGATAGAGGGGATTTCCTGTGGTATTGTCTGTAAAGCGCATGGACTCCTGTGAGTGGTCGGTAAGTACTGGCTATTGTTATTTGGAGAAGGAAATGGCAACCCACTCCAATATTTGGTCTGGAGCATCCCATGGACAGAGGAGCCTGGCAGGCTGTATCTAGTCCGTGGGGTTGCAAGAGTGGGACACGACTTAGCGACTAAACCATCGCCGTTACTCAAAAACAGTTACAGAGATGAAGGTAATGAGACGCAGATGATCTTGAAGGCTGCCAGCCGGGGCTGTGGCCATTTACCTTGTCTGCGTTTTCTCCCCTCTTGGGGCCGCAGGCTTCGGCAGCGGGATGGCCTACCTGCCGGCCGTGGTCATGGTGGGCAGGTACTTCCAGAAGAGGCGCGCGCTCGCCCAGGGTCTCAGCACCACCGGGACCGGCTTCGGCACGTTCCTCATGACGGTCTTGCTCAAGTACCTGTGCGCGGAGTACGGCTGGCGGAACGCCATGTTCATCCAGGGCGCCGTGTCCCTGAACCTGTGCGTGTGCGGCGCGCTCATGAGGCCCCTCTCGCCTGGGATGGACTGCGATGGCCCCGAAGGGAAGGCGCCGCACCACGTCCTGCCGGCTCACTCCACCGAATCGGTCAGGTCCAGTGGACACCTGGGGGAAGCCGAGGAGAAGCCAGAAGGCCCCAGCACCGAGGACAACTCCCTCGGGGACGCGCCCGCCCAGGCGTGCCAGGAGAAAGCCGCACACACAGACATGTGCGCCTTCCGTCTTCTGAAGACGGTGAGCCAGCTGACCATGAGGGTCAGGAAGGGCTTCCGGGACTGGTACTCAGGCTATTTTGGGACAGCCTCGCTCTTTACTAATCGGATGTTTGTCGCCTTTATTTTCTGGGCTCTGTTTGCCTACAGCAGCTTCGTCATCCCTTTCATTCACCTCCCAGAAATAGTCAACTTGTACAAGTTATCAGAGCAAAATGATGTGTTCCCCCTGACTTCAATCATAGCCATAGTTCACATCTTTGGAAAAGTGGTCCTGGGCGTCGTGGCCGACCTACCCTGCATCAGTGTGTGGAATGTCTTCCTGATGGCCAACTTCACCCTGGTCCTCAGTATTTTTATTCTGCCCTTGATGCACACCTACGCAGGCCTGGCAGTCATCTGTGCCCTGATAGGCTTTTCCAGCGGTTATTTCTCCCTGATGCCTGTGGTGACGGAGGACTTGGTGGGGATTGAGCACCTGGCCAATGCCTACGGTATCATCATCTGTGCTAACGGCATCTCCGCGTTGCTGGGACCACCTTTTGCAGGTAAACGCTTCAAGGCATTAAGAGCTTAGAGTGCATGTAGATAGGTCGGGTTCTCATTTATATTAAAAGCCCAGGATGAATATGAAGTAAGTTTCCATGTGTGCACATGTTCCTTTCTTCCCCCTCCCCATTCCTGCCCCCAATTTCTCATGTATAAATTTTAGCAAGTTAAAGGTCATTCATTCCCATAGAATGTAGATGAACTTTTGGTCTCTAACCTGTGAGATAAATGACCAGTCTGGTAAAACGGATGGTGCCATAGCACAGAGCCTGTGCCCCATTAGAAGGAGGCAGTCTCTGCCAGTTCTAGCTGATTTCACCAAGAAATAACAGAAAATCATGACTGGCTCTTCTATTGTTAGCCCCCTCCCCACCCCAACAACCCACGAGAAGCTAGGACTCTGCACTCTCAGATGACTTTTCCAGATTTTCAAAACACATCTGTAGATTCAACAGACCTGTGGGCTGGAGCTAGCCCTGTAAGAATTTCTATGTGTGTGCTAAGTCGCTTCAGTCATGTCAGACTCTTTGCGAGCCCATGGACTGTAGCCCACTAGGCTTCTCTATCCATGGGATGGGATTCTCCAGGCAAGAACATTGGAGTGGGTTGTCATGCCCTCCTCCAGGGGATCTTCCCAACTCAGGGATCAAACCCACATCTTTTATGTCTCCCGTCTTGACAGGTGGGTTCTTTACCACTAGTGCCACCTGGGGAGCCCAGGGGTTTTCTACTGGTGCTGTAATAAATCGCCACAAACTTAGTGGCTTAAAACAGTACAAACATATGATCTTACAGTCCTGGAGGTCAGAAGGCTAAACTGGATCACAGCGTGCCAAAACCAAGGTGTTGGTGGAACCACATTCTTTCTGGAAGTTCTCTGGGGCAATCTGTTTGCTTGCCTTTTGCAGCTTCTGGGGGCCGCCTGCTTTTTTGTCCCCTGACCCCTTCTTCCATCATCTAAGCCAACAGCAGAGCATCTTCTCATTTCTCTGGGGTTCTGACTCTGCCGCCTCCTCTCACTTTTATTTTTTATTTTTTTTCCATTTATTTTTATTAGTTGGAGGCTAATTACTTTACAATATTGTAGTGGTTTTTGCCATACATCGACATGAATCAGCCATGGATTTACATGTATTCCCCATCCCGATCCCGCCTCCCACCTCCCTCTCCACCCGATCCCTCTGGGTCTTCCCAGTTCACCAGCTCCGAGCCCTTGTCTCCTGCATCCAACCTGGGCTTTCCTCTCACTTTTAAAGATACCTGTCCATGGGATGGGACAGGCATTGGGTCCACTGGATAATCCAGAAAAAAACCCCGTGTCAAGAGACCTCCAGTTGCCAACATCTAGGATGAGATCTCTCACATACATTCATCCCAGTTCACTGAAGAATTTGCCACTTGCATCGGGCATACCAGAAGCCATAGGCACCCAAGAGGAGTCCCATGCCTGGGCAGGTACCTCTCTGAACTTGTCATTCTGGGTGGGTTTTAAGCTTTGTGGCAGGTTGACCCAGTCCCCAAGAGGCCAGGTGCTGGGCAAAGTCACAGAGTCTTCCCATGGTCCTGAGATTGAAGGCAGGAGCCTGCAAAGCATGGAAGAGGCTGGAGTCAAATGTTAACACCAAGGTGGTCTCTGAAGGTGGCTGATGGGGCATCCAGGCCAGGACTGGCAGCAGTTGGCAGAGCTACCATAAGTTCTGGGCAGGCTTTTCACCGGAGGAGCCTCACCTATTCAGATGTCCCACCCTTGCCTTTTCTGGCTGCTCCTGGCCCTTTGTTCTTATATCCTGTGCAGAAATACTTCTTCCCAGTAGCTGGGGAAGCTCGTGGATTCAGGCCAAAACCCTCCCACCCCTTTCTTCCCAGTCTCTCTACAGACCTACAGTCATCTCCTATCCTAGGGCCCCACTGGCAGAGGGCTTGTGCTAACTAACCCACCCATCTTTATGTCCCACCTCCCCCCCCCAACAAGATTTGAAGCTCCAGAAATTATATATATATATTTTTTATTAAACTGATGCTCAAAAAGATTGAGGGCAGGAGGAGAAGGGGGCGACAGAATGAGGTGGTTGAGTGGCATCACTGAATCAGTGGACACGTGTTTGAGCAAACTCCCGGAGATACTGAAGGACAGAGGGGCCTGGCGGGCTACAATCCATAGGGTCGTAAAGAGTTGGACACAACTTAGCAACTGAACAATAACAGTTGAGCTGACAACGCTGGCAGCTGGCTGAATAAAGGTTTAAAATGCAAGAATTGCTTTAGGAAACCCAGAGGCTACATATGGGGCCCCTTCTGAGTCAGGCTGCTCCTATTTTCTGCTCATACACAGAAGTGCAAGCCAGCATTTCTAAGTGACAGTGAATATCTATAGCAATGCAATAGACTGTTGGCAGCTGAAAACTGTTCAGTGATCTCATTGTATAGAATTCTCTATCAGTTAGGGATGCATTTTGTTGTAAAATCACACCCCAACAATAGTAGCTTAAATAGAGATTTAATTGTGTCACATAACCAGAAATCTGGAGTCCAGAAACTAGATGATATTGAGACAGTGTCTCAAGATCCTCTTGACCTTTTCCTCATGCTGGTTGCTCACAGTCATGCAGACTCCAGTGGCTCCAGTCACTGCAGACTTATTTGTAACAAGAAAGAGGAAGGGATGAAAGAGTCCCAGCAGACTTCCACTTATATCTAATTGGCCAGAACTGTGTCTCACAGTGAGTCTAAGCCTCAGGGGAAACTGAAAATTGGAGAACTTTGCTTTCTAGCCTCGGGACTAGAGGAAGGAAAGGAGAAAAGATTTGGAATGGGGGTCGGATCAATCAACCAGTGGTAACTTCCAAAGAAGTTAAATATCCATTAAGGGGATGGGGACTTTATCAGTGACTCATCCACCCTCTTGTTGGAAGTCCTCCAGATGTATTGTGTGTGGAAATAGAATCTGCCGTTGATGTTTCTTTGCATGATCAGGGGGTACTTTCTGCTTCTAATGGTCAGTCTGGAATTATTTTATACTGATCCATTAGATTGCAATGGGCTTCCCTGATAGCTCAGTTGGTAAACAATCCACCTGCAATGCAGGAGACCCCAGTTCGATTCCTGGGTCAGGAAGATCTCGTGGAGAAGGGCTAGGCTACCCACTCAAGTATTCTTGGACTTCCCTTGTAGCTCAGCTGGTAAAGAATCCACCTGCAATGGGGGAGACATGGATTTGATCCCTGGGTTGGGAAGATCCCCTGGAGAAGGGAAAGGCTACCCACTCCAGTATTCTGGCCTGGAGAATTCCATGGACTGTCTAGGCCATGGGGTTGCAAAGAGCCGGACATGACTGAGTGACTTCACTTTCACTTTTTCATTAGATTGCAATAGCACTATCACAAAGCAGCTGTAAGGTACAGCATAAGTAATTCATGATCAGCGTTAATTAAAGCACCGAGGTTTGACAGCATGGTTTTCTTATCCCATCCCTATGGTCATTTCCTTTTCACACGTTTTAATTCTAGTGCACTTTCTTGAGTGGAAGGGAAAGGAATTACAACTAGAAGATAGGGAGTTATACCCACCTCTCAGTCCTTGGGTTTGATCTCTGCTTCAAGGTTCCTCCCTAGAAGTGGCGTCTGTAGCTGAGTTTGATCCACGACGGATGGTAGAAACTGCTGTATTAATGGTGGATGTGTGTTAAATGCTGCCATGGTGTAGCCCCCTAGTCTCCTCTGTCCTTGGGATTCTCCACATAAGAGTGCTGGAGTGGGTAGCCATTCCCTTCTCTAGTGGATCTTCCCAACCTAGAGATCAAACTTGGGTCTCCCACATTGCAGGCAGATTCTTTACCATCCAAGCCACCAGGGAATCCTCAAAATGCTGCCACGGAAATGCTGAAATCAATGTTCTGATGTACGTCTCCAGGCCAGCAATCTAAAGGGGCCTTTCCTTCTTTTTGTTTATTTCTTCTTCCCCTGAACCTATGTGCTGAGAAATGCTGAGCAGCATGATTGGCCAACTGCATTGTGTTTAATTCATTGATTTTCCAGGCCAAGGAGCCAATATTGCAATGAGACACAAGGCCAGCCTTTATGCATTATAGCAGTGACTGGCAATATGAGTGACTAAATAACCACATTAAATTCTTGCTAGAAATTCCAGGTGGGCTAGAAATTATTACTTAGCTTGAAGTGCTATAAGGAAAATTACTGTTCACATTAGCTTTTTCTTTTTTAATGGGTTTAAAAATGAATGTGTTTTCCATTTTTCAAAGCAATTTCTACTGGCATAAAAAAATCTGGTACAATTTAGTAGCATGTTAGATAATCACACATTTCCATTTAGCAGAAGAATATGCAATCAAAGATATTGAACAGTCACTTCAACTGTGTCATTTAGCAACACAAACTTCTTGATGTAATTCATTGTATAATGTTCTGGGCATTCAGTTTGCCTCTTTAAAAAGACATAGTAATAGTAGATCCTTTTTTTAGATGTTTCCAGGGTAAAGTATAGCAAAACTCAGCCACCAGATTTGACTGACCAAGAATCCACAATTATCTCCAGTATTCACACAAAATGTAACAGGCTAACAATAATTTGTAATGTTTTTTCACAAAGAGCTGGGAACACTTATTAAACAGCCATCACTCCTCATTTGATAGACTCAAATGAAAAAGGAATGCAAATTAATAAGGAACCAGATTTTACTTTGAAGCTGTTGATTTCAGTTGATGGTTGGATCAGGACTACCAGGAATTCCGAGCTCCAAACCAAGGGACTGAGATCAGACCTATAGGGAGAGATGGGTGATGGATGAATGAGGTGTGCATCTTCTCTGAAACATGTCGTTTCTAAAGAGTTTTGTCCCCATGTGCTGGGCTGAAGCACGTGATAAAAGTGCTGTCTCCTGACCTGCTTTGCATCAGACTCAGGACTGGGTTGAGTTCAAACTAGCGGAGATGGCAGGATCTGGAATCATTTCAGAATAAATCCTAAAGGTAGATTGGAGAAAACTATGGAATTAATTTAATGTAAAAATTAGGGCTACTCCTAACAATTTGCACTGTCAAATTGTTTGGTAAAGTTGGTGGCACTTTTTGAAAAATTGAGTTGCTTTTAAAGATTGGGACATGTGAAGGTGCTTTTACAGAAGTTTATACTTTTAGAGGAAAGGTGAAAAACTTTAAAATATAACTAATTCAGTGTAAGGCTATAACAATACTTAGTGCTGTTTTCTATAGTCTGCAGGCAAGAGGGAGGATGGAGTGGTGCAAGGAGATGGTAGGGTGTTCTCGAAGAATGATGGGGTTATTACTGTCCCCCCAGAAGGAGTAATAGTACACGTACAGTCAGGGTGCCAAGACAAATGTGCTTGAAACTCCAAAAAATTCGGTATGGCCTGTGCCAGTGGTTGAGTTCAGGGCATCAGGAGAGGTGGATAGGGGCCTTTTCACAGAGCCCTGGAGCTTGTACTCAACCACTTCTAACAAAAAAGTAAGTAAGTAAATAGTCTGAACTAAGTACATATTAATTTTTTAATGAGGATTTTGTCCTGTCTCCGAGTTCATGTTAAGCAATGGTGGGAAACCAACCTGTTCGAGCTGTTGGTTGTTTAGAAGTATTACTTTCTAACTCCCAATGATTTGATCATAGAAAAGTGAGGAATGAACTGTTAAACCGACAAGATCAACGTTCATCTGGAATGAGTGGACTGTTAGGAGAACCTCGTTTGTATGTATTGATTTTTTACAAATTATAACTTAAGATAGTGCTGTCTTGTACTCTGCTTGTGAAGACATACCACTCAGCGTTATCTGCCAGTAAATTCTTCACTTCATCATAATTCATAGTGGTCCACAGCTGACAAATGGAGGCATGAACAAAGATGGATGTGTTTTTGTTCATATGTCAGTGAACTTTCTAATTCAGTGCTGAAGCTGAATCATGGTTTCTGGATTATATGGGTAATCTTATCTGTCTCTCTTGTCTCAAACTGGAGAGTAAAAAAAGATGATAGAACATTTACTAAGCCACATTTAAAGATTATGATATTCTCTTCTTTTATGTATCAAATAACAGACTCAAAAGCTTGGTTTACTTTTAAAGTGTATCCAGAATTCATAGTCAGAGGGATTTTTGAAAGGTGTACATTTTTGGTGTTTTTCTTTATGATGGCCTTGACTCATTCAGGCACATTAAGTGCTGGCTACGATAAGCAAGAGATACAAATAACCCCCAGGAAGTCAGAGGAACTAGTTTACACATTTAGCAGTTGATTTTGTGTAGCTATTTGTTGGCGGGAGAGGGTTGTAAGTTACATTTATGCATTCATTAGCAGTATCATTAGATACTTTTTTAAAGTGGCCATGGAATACTATGTTTGGTCATTAAATCATTTATATTTTTCTTATGCCTCTGCTAATTAATACCCTTGTTGAAATGGAAAAAGTGAATGTTTACATTTTTACCATAAATACAATTCTTTGTCTAGCTTAATCTTCTCAGCTTGCATAACTGGCAATGCAGGGACCATGACATGTGACTGATCCTTAGAATTAATCACTGAAGTGAATGAAACATCATGCTTCATGGTTTCTGAAACCTTTTTTTTCACATTTTAGCTTCTCAGAAGTCTGAATGCCTTTTACAGAGTTCTAAGAAAACATCAAGTCATATTTTAATTGACAATGTATTCCTTTTTTATTGATATGTAAGATAATGATGGATGGCATCACTGACTCAATGGACATGAGTTTGAGTAAGCTCCATGAGTTGGTAATGGACAGGGAGGCCTGGCGTGCTGCGATTCATGGGGTCGCAAAGAGTCGGACACGACTGAGCGACTGAACTGAACTGAACTGAAGATAATGATGCATCATGTAATTCATGGTATCTTGGAATCCATGAAATATGGTAGTGTTTTATGAAGTCCCTAGTAAGATCATTATATGAAAGTATCAGACTAATATTGTTGTTGTTTAGTTGCCAAGTCTTGTCCAACTCTTTTTGTGACCCCAAGTACTGTAGCCCACCAGGCTCCTCTGTCCCTGGGATTTCCCAGGCAAGAAACCTAGAGTGGGTTGCCATTTCCTTCTCCAGTGAATCTTCCCAACCCAGGAGTCAAACCCGTGTCTCCTGCATTGGCAGGTGGATTCTTTAACCCTGAGCCACTAGGGAAGCCCACAAGACTATAACGTTAAGAGTAAAGTATTTTTAAAAGAACTGATAACTTAGCATTTAAGGCTATATCTTTGGCAATTCAAACTTTCATAAGTTTAAATATATATTACGGTTTATAGCTGTAAATGTGAATTTCATAAAACCTAGAAATTTTGATTCCTTCTCGAACAGATGTTTACCCTCATATACTTCAGAGTGAATCAAAGTTCAAGTATCTTCCACTCAGCCTCTTTGGATACACACTAGAAACTTCTTCAGAAATGTTTTGAGGTTTTAGAAAAGATTCATGTAAAAAGAAAATCGTTAGAGTCACTTTTCACTGTTGGCTTTGTGCCAGCTTAAAAGTCACCCTCATATACACAGTGGAATATTACTCAGCCATTAAAAAGAATACATTTGAATCAGTTCTAATGAGGTGGATGAAACTGGAACCTATTATACAGAGTGAAGTCAGCCAGAAAGAAAAACACCAATACAGTATACTAATGCATATATATGGAATTTAGAAAGATGGTAACGATGACCCTGTATGAGAGACAGCAAAAGAGACACAGATGTATTGAATAGTCTTTTGGACTCTGTGGGAGAGGGCGAGGGTGGGATGATATGGGAGAATGGTACTGAAACATATAAATTATCATATGTGAAACGAATCGCCAGTCCAGGCTTGATGCATGAGACAGGGTGCTCGGGGCTGGGGCACTGGAATGACCCAGAGGGATGGGATGGGGAGAGGGGTTCAAGACGGGGAACACATGTACACCCATGGAGGATTCAAGTCAATGTAAGGCAAAACCGATACAATATTATAAAGTAAAACAAAAAGAAGTTACCCCCAAGGGCTATGAGCCACATTTTCCCCATAGGTCAGCCAGCTACTGTTTCATTGCCTTTAGCTTTAAAGGTAAATGTAGTCATTCCCAGGCATGGAGAACTCAGGTTCCAACAGACCAGACTTAAAAATGGCTGCATGAAATGTCTGGGGCATCAAACGACATATAATAAATTCTTAGAAAATTACTTATAGTAGCAATAAATGTTTGCTTTGTGTTCTTGACTTTGTTATCTCAACTTCATTACGCTGAATATCTTCTTTTCTGTTTTGTAGGGTGGATCTTCGACATCACCCAAAAATATGACTTTTCCTTCTATATAAGCGGTTTACTCTACATGGTAGGAATCCTCTTTTTACTCATTCAACCGTGTATTCAAATTATAGAACAATCCAGAAAAAAATACATGGATGGTGCAAATGTGTAGTGTCCTGTGATGTTCCGTGTAAGATTTCCTTGTCATACTCATGCATCCCTCACATGGTTACTGTGAGGAGCCTGTGACATATCGTGGGAAAGCGTGTTGTCTCCGTAAATGACACTGTTGTTTTAAATGCCGTTGCCATGGCTTCATGTGAAAGCAGCGCTGCCTTTCCGTGTGGGGAGAGCGCTATGGACCACGTGCACCTTAGCGAGGACAGTGTCTTGCAAAGACAGCCTGTTGAATCACTGGTAGAAATGCCCTTCTAAAAACTATCTCATCATCCATACTCGGACTAGGGTTTTAAACATAGCTTTTAAAACAGAATGATAGCTTCTCAACCTAGTTACTTCTTTGTAAGGTGAAAATAAGGTGTTTAAGTGCTTCCAGAAAACTTAACAGTTACAGGTTTCCCCTGCTTTTTGAAAGCGCTTTTCACTACTTTGCTTTTACAAAAGACCTGCATTAGTTTTCGCTCACAGGAAAAACTAGAGGAGGATTTTTGCGTTTAAAAAAAAAGGGGAACCTTGTTCAGCATTTGTTTTGCTGCAAACCTTTGCAGAGTCGGTGCCAAGCTCCCTCCCAGGAACCACACAGGCATCTCAGCATCAAGTCGCCAGAACTTTGGATGGTGTCTATGAACATCCGTGCTTGATCACAGTTTATTTGTGCATCCATTAGCAAGATGTGTCTGGAGGTCATGGCTTCTTTGCTTTATGCCATTTCAATTAAGGTTTCATAGAATGCTCTCTGCTTTCAGACGGTGGAGGAAACCTGTAAATGAATTTTAAGCACAAGAAAATGCTAGACTTCAGAAATTATTAAAAGGAGCTATCGCTCAACCAGTGTAAAACAAAGGCAGACCCTAATTTCAAAGGCAATGCATTTAGTACAATTAAAGAAACACAGTTTATATTTTTATTAAAGAATTCTACAGCTAGGGCATACAATTTCTAAATCTTTCTCTAAACATAGCATTTGCCATTATTCGTAATGCAGTAGTATCTAGTTATAAACTGAATCTTGAGGCAAATCTTAATAAATAAATAATATAAATAATCTCCTTAGTGAAAGTCTTATTTGTGCATATAACCATTGAGTCAAGGGCTAAAATTCAAGCACTTTTATTCATTTTATTGGCCTCTTAGTTTATCCGCATGCTCTGGGGCCTATAAAAATTTTTTTCTGGGTTTCTCTTACTCAGTAAATAAAGTAGAAAATGAATTGCTGATTGACATGTAAAGCTGGTTGTTTAAGTCATTTGTAAAGCATGTTACTAATCCCAAATATAAGACTATCACGTTGTGAGGATAATAAACAAAAGGCCCTTGGTCCAAACGTCTGGGCACCAGACATTGGAGTGGTGGTGACAAGCAGCCCTTCTCCAATGCCTCTTGCTGGGCTATGGGCAGTTCATTCGCCTGAGCTCAGCACAGTTTTTAAAATAGTTCTCTTGATTGATTTCATACCGAAGATAACTATGATTCATGACATCGAGTAATGCTCTTCCTTTGTCGGAGATCTCTATTTTTCTAAGCCAAACATTTTTCAGACTGCAAAATGTTCTTCCGAGAATCGTTTTGAAATTTCTGGCTGCCTTACTTGTTTACACCTATTTTAGAACTATTTAAATTTTCACTCACGATTTGCTTATCACACACACACAAATATTTTAATATCCTTGCCAGTGTCTTGGGTCAAATTTATCTAAAGTGAGTACAGACCATTCTCAATTATCCTTGGTGATTAGACAGGAATGGTACTAGAAACTGGAGTCACAGAATGTTACCCCAGTCTAATTTTAGCCAGCTGTTTCAGTCTTTTACTCCACCAAACCCTTCAGAGCTGTTAACAAGTGATTACATGCACACATTTCCTTTTTGTTTCATCTCCATTATTTCCTGCTCTAATGTCTAGTGGGAAGGGTTGTGTAATGAAAGGGACCACCAAAATAACAATAATAATAAAAGGCAGCTAATGGAAAGGAGGAACAAAAGCATGGCTAATATACCCACATTACCTCCAATGATTCGAGAATTGCCTGTAAATTATGATAGATAATAAATTGCATGTCATACTCCATTTGGTCCAACACGACCTGTTTGTTATTGTGACAGCTTTGGTTGCTATGAGAAGATCCTACTCTCTGTTTTTGATAAAGGTAATCTTCAATGCTGACACAGTGTTTTTTCTCTCAATATATATTTACCATTAAATTAGGATGATTAGATTGAAAATCATGTTGTGGGTTTTAAAACTGACAACACTGCTTCCTTACTTTCATTTACTGACACGATCAAATTAACAGGTTGTTGTTTAGTCACTCAGTCGTGTCTGATTCTTTGTGATCCCATGGACTGCAGCACGCCAGGCTTCCCGGTCCTTCACTATCTCCCTGAGTGTGCTCAAATTCACGTCCATTGTGTCGATGATGCCATCCAACCATCTCATCCTCCGTCACCCCTTCTCCTCCTGCCCTCAGTCTTTCCCAGCATCTGGATCTTTTCCAATGAATTTGCTCTTCACATCAGGTGGCCAAAATATTGGAACTTCAGCTTCAGCATCAGCCCTTCCAGTAAATGTTCAGGATTGATTTCCTTTAGGATTAACTGGTTTGATCTTCCTTGCAGTCCAGGGGACTCTCAAGAGTCTTCTCCAGGCAGAGTTAAATATTTGGAATGGTGCTATATAGCCAGTGTCAATGTTTCAACTGTTAGTTGTGCATCACAAATACAAACTTTTTATCCAATGATCCAGCTTTGGTTAACTATCCAAGTTAGACCTGCTCATGTTCAGTCCATCCAGTTGTTTGTTGATTTACTGTATTTATGGAAGTGATGATTTCTTCCAAATCAAGTCCTCATTTTACAAAAACAAAGTAAATCTTACTTGCAATATTCATGTTGCCAACAGAAAAAAAGAGAATGCTTGTAAAGAATTACAGCAAATACATTCATATATCCTGTTTAAAATATTATTTACAGTTCTCTGAAGATATTATAAAGAGTTGATTGTAATGTTATATGCTTTATAGGTTTCCCCTCATGTATTCAAATAATTTTATTTACATATAACTAAATAAATTTTGTCCTCTTTAAAGTTGGTCAGTGAGTTTCTGTACAAAATCTTTATTTTCTTGGTTTTAAGAGGAAAATTCCTAAGGGATGATTATCAGTTCGGTTCTTTCCCTGGAAAAGAGTTTTTCTCTAGGTGTGGTTACCAAACCTGCTTCCCAGGTGGCACAGTGGTAAAGAATCCACCTGCCAATGCAGGAGACACAAGACGTGGCTTCGATCTCTGGATAGGGAAGATCCCCTGGGGTAGGAAATGGCAACCCACTTCAGTCTTCTTGCCTGAAAAATCCCATGGACAGAGGAGCCTAGTGGGGGCTGTGTGGAGTTGCAAAGAGTCAGACATGACTGAGTGACTGAGTGCCAAACCACCTGGAGAAAATTACCTGACACTAACTGTTAGAAGGGCCAAGTTTAGCTCTAAAATTTAAAAGGTTAAAAACCTTTTAACTGAGCAACTACACTTCTAAAGTTTTTTGTACATGAACAAAGACAAATGAATAAGGGTTGTTTGATTTATTGTTTGCTATAAAAGACTGAATATAATTTGAATGTCCATCAGTGGAAACTGCTTAATAAAGTATGGTATTTATGCAAACATTACAAAGAGACAGATCCATCTATAAAATTAGAAAACAGGATTCAAGATATATTGCCAAGAGAGAAAAATCAAGATGTGTTTAATGTAATCCCAATTACGTTTTTGCTAACTACAAAAAAGGTGATTCATGGCTTGTGTGTGTGTATATATATATATGTACATATATATATAGAACATTTCTGGAAGGAAACACAAAAAACCATTAACAGTGTTCAGCTCTGGGGAGGAAAGTTTGGGTTCTGGGGTGGGACTGACATTTTCCCTTATACACAGGATGTTTTTCCAATTCAAAACTTGTGTCCAAATTTTTTTTCGTGTTTCATCTATTTATTTATTTTTAGGCCACAAGGCATGTGGGATCTTTAGTTTCCCAATCAGGGGTCAAACCCACACTCCCTGCATTGGAAGCATGGAGTCTTAACAACTGAACTGCCAGGGAAGTCCCCAAAAGTGTTTTAAATGCAGGTTCCTGGAGCAACATAAAAACCTAGTGGATTGGAATCTTGGATGGGTCCAATAAATCTTCCTTGTAGATAAGCTTATCAGTTGATTCTTGTTATTGACAGTCACTTAGTTGTCCTAACTCGTTGTGACCCCATGGACTGCAGCACTCCAAGCTTCCCTGTCCTTCACCATCTCCCAGAGCTTGGTCAAACTCATGTCCATTGAGTTGGTGATGTCATCCAACCACCTCCTCCTCTGTCACCACCTTTTCCTCTTACCTTCAGTCTTTCCCAGCATCAGGGTCTTTTCTAATAAGTCAGCTCTTTGCATCAGGTGGCCAAAGTACTGGAGCTTCAGCTTCAGCATCAGTCCTTCCAATGAATATTCAAGGTTGATTTCCATCAGGATTGACTGGTTTGATCTTGCAGTCCAAGGGACTCTCAAGAGTTTTCTCCAAACCACAATTCAAAAGCATCAATTCTTCAATGCTCAGCCTTCTTTATGGCCCAGCTCTCACATCCATACATGACTACTGGAAAAACCATAGCTTTGACTACACAGACCTTTGTTGGCAAAGTAATGTCTCTGCTTTTTAATATGTTGTCTAGGTTTGTCATAGCTTTTCTTCCAAGAATCAAGTCTTTTAATTTCATGGCTGTAGTCACCATCTACACTGATTATGGAGCCCAAGAAAATAAAGTCAGTCACTGTCTTCATTGTTCCTCCATCTATTTGCCATGAAATGATGGGACCAGATGCCACGGTCTTAGTTTTCTGAATGTTGAATTTTAAGCCAGCTCTTTCACTCTCCTCTCCTTTTCACATCCATAGGCTCTTTAGTTCTTCACTTTCTGCCATTAGGATGGTATCATCTGCATATCTGAGGTTATTGATATTTCTCCTGGCAATCTTGATTCCAGCTTCTGCTGCATCCAGCCCGGCACTTCACATGATGTACTGATGTGTAGTCTGCATATAAGTTAAATAAGCAGGGTGACAATATACAGCCTTGACATACTCCTTCCCCAATTTGGAACTAGTCTGTTGTTTCATGTCCGGTTCTAACTGTTGCCTCTTGACCTGCATACAGGTTTCTCAGGAGGCAGGTAAAGTGTTTCCATCTCTTTAAGAATTTTCTACAGTGTGTTGTGATCCACACAGTCAAAGGCTTTAGCGTAGTCAATGAAGAATAAATTGATGTTTTTCTGGAATTCTCTTGTTTTTTTTCCTGTGATCCAATGAATGTTGACAATTTAATCTGTTTCCTTTGCTGTTTCTAAATCCAGCTTGAACATTTGGAATTTCTTGGTTCACATACTATTGAAGACTAGCTTGGAGAATTTTGAGCATTACTTTGCTAACATGTGAAATGAATGCAATTGTGCAGTCATTTGAACATTCTTTGGCTTTGCCTTTCTTTGGGATGGGAATGAAAATTGACCTTTTCCAGTCCTGCATACACTGCTTAGTTTTCCAGATTTTCTGACATATTGAGTGCAGCACTTTCACAGCATCATCTTTTAGGATTTGAAATAGCTCAGTTGGAATTCCATCAGCTCCACTAGCTTTGTTTGTAGTGATGCTTCCTAAGGCCCACTTGACTTTGCACTCCAGGATGTCTGGTTCTAGGTGAGTGATCACACCATTGTGGTTATCTGGGTCATTCAAATCTTTTTTGTATAGTTCTTCTGTGTATTCTTGCCACTTCTTAATATCTTCTGCTTCTGTTAGGTCCATACCATTTCTGTCATTTATTGTGCCATCTTTGCATGGAATGTTCCATCAGTATTTTTAATTTTCTTGAAGAGATCTCTAGTCTTTCCCATTCTATTGTTTTCCTCTATTTCTTTGCATTGATCTCTGAGGAAGGCTTTCTTATCTCTCCTTGCTATTCTTTGGAACTCTGCATTTAGGTGGGTATATCTTTCATTTTCTCCTTTGCCTTTAGTTTCTCTGAACTTCCCTGGTGGCTCAGATGGTAAAGCGTCTGCCTGCAATGTGAGAGAACTGGGTTCAATCCCTGGGTCGGGAAGATCCCCTGGAGAAGGAAATGGCAACCCACTCCAGTACTCTTGCCTGGAAAATTTCATGGACTGAGGAGCCTGGTAGGCTACAGTCCACAGGGTTGCAAAGAGTCAGACACGACTGAGCGACTTGACTTTCTTTCTTACTCTTGTTTTCTCAGCTATTTTTAAGGTCTCTTCAGACAACCATTTTGCCTTTTTGCATTTCTTTTTCTTGATGATGGTCTTGATCACGGCTTCCTGTACAGTGTTACAAACCTCTGTCCATAGTTCTTCAGGCACTCATCAGATCTAATCGTTAAATCTGTTTGTCACTTCCACTGTAAGGGATTTGATTTCAGTCATACTTGAATGGTTTAGTGGTTTTCCCTGCTTTCTCCAATTTAAGTCTGAATTTTTCAATAAGGAGTTCATGATCTGAGCCAGTTAACTCCCAGTCTTATTTTTGCTGACTGTATAGAGCTTCTCCATCTTCAGCTGCAAAGAATATAATCAATTTGATTATGGTATTGACCATCTGGTAATATCCATATGTAGAGTCATCTCTTGTTTTGCTGGAAGAGGGCGTTTGCTATGACCAGTGGGTTCTCTTGGCAAAACTCTGTTAACCTTTGTCCTGCTTCATTTTGTACTATAAGGCCAAGTGAAAGAAAGTGAAAGTTGCTCAGTCATGTCTGACTTTTTGTGAACCCATGGACTATAGTGTCCATGGAATTCTCCAGGCCAGAATACTGGAGTAGGTAGCTGTTCCCTTCTCCAGGGGATCTTCCCAACCCAGGGATTGAACTCAGGTCTCCCACATTGCATATGGATTCTTTAGCAGTTGAGCCACCAGAGAAGACCAAACTTTGCTGTTACTCCAGGTATCTCTTGAGTCCCTACTTTTCCATTCCAGTTCATTTATGGTCACTAAAATTGGAGACCAGCTTTCAGTATATTTAAAACTAACACATTCCAGGGACTTCTCTGGTGATCCAGTGGTTAAGACTCCATGCTTTTACCTCAGGGGCTGTGGGTTTGATCCCTGGTCAGGAAACTAAGATCCTGCATTCCCTTCAGCAGGACCAAAAAATAAAGCATTCCAGCCAATTTGAAAAAGCAACAAAAACAAAAAAGAAAAAGCAACAGTGAGTTTATTAGCATGGTTTTTTCCTTTTGTTAATCACTACCAGTGTAACACTTTGATAAAGAGAAACGTGTTATTATTGTATTTTAACAAATTAATGTTTTCCTGTTACACCA